TCTCGAATAATTAAATGACCATCCGAGGGTAGATGGGTGGAGTACCTAGCATAGGGCTCGTTAAACCTCCCTGTCCAGTTGTGATTGTCCGGCCGGTCGACGGTCCCGACCATTCGACCGGCAGGGTTTGTTCCTGGACCGCTATAAACCCCCCCGGTTGCCGCCACCCTCACCTTCATCCCTCCGCCGCCGCCGCCCGTTTCAAACACGGCACACCGGTACCCGTTGGCTTCCATGAACTTGCTTGAATTTTACGATTCGATCGGCCGAGTTAATCGTGCTCTCTGGTAGCTAACCTCGCCGGGCGCTGGTTCTCGTGTAACGGCGGCCGGCGCAGATTTCATTAGAGTTTAGGACGCGTTCGGGAATTCGTTTAATAGGTAAGAATTGGAATTGGTTGCCGGTGCAGGTAGGGTTGATTAATTCGAGCGGACTTTAAGTGGAATTTTTCGATCGTTTATTTTGTCGGATACTATGAAAAATCTGTGTTACGAGGGAGTAGGTACATAATAGGTCAATGGAAATGGATTGGCTCGAGTGGAAGAGACGATGAGGGAACGTTATGAGAGAAATCGATTGGGGCGGAATCGCGGAGAGGTCTATAAATTCGGCATGCTTTGAGCGCGTTGTGCTGTCTAATGCAAATTCTTGTAGTTTCTGCGATACAACAGTCACTGGTCCTTGACAGATTTGACAGAGGTTGAGTTATGGCGGAAGGAAGGTCAGCGTTTCTCCCCACGAAAAGAGCAGTAAATCGAATAATTCGATTGATGCCCCGCGAGGGCAAAAGCGTACACGCGCGCCGGCTACCGAGCGTCCGCGTTATTCGAAAGCAATTGAGTCAATGTTAAGCAATACAATACACGGGTAATAATGGACTCTGGGGTGAATCTGGTCCCGGTGTTGCGTCCCCTACCGTGCACGAATATAGGGTGGGACACGTCGGCCTTTTGGATTCCGCATAGGGGCAAAAGCGCGCAGATGTAACGCGACAACAAACAGCCCCGATAGATTGCAATGCTTCCCTCGAGAGGTTGTTCGTAAATTCGTAATAAGCCCCGGGGATTCTTCGATTCTAGGATGTCTTGAGTACTTTCCGAAACGCATCGACATCGGGGATGGTCAGTGATTTTTTAAGATGTTTCTTAACGAATTCATATCTAATATTCTGTAGCTGGACGACACAAACATAGAACTTTCTTTCCCGGAAGCAATGGATTACTCAACGCAAAACATTCGACTACATGCGTTTAACTATCAAATAACATACTGAAAGTATATTCTTTTTTAAAATCTTGCAAATCACTTCGATTATAAATTTCACAATAAAGAAAAAGGAACACATCTGTAATTCAAAATTGAAGTGATTTCAAGCACAAATTCCTCGGATTCTCAAATGATTTCACATAAAAACGAAGAACCAAGGTATTATCCCGAACAGCTTACCATTTATATCAATCACAACTGAAGTTTCCCGAGGCTGAAGCAATAAGATTAAACTTAAAGACAATATAAATATGAAGCTCCACCTATTAACAGTTTTGCGTCGTTCCAACAGTGGTCCGGATTCCTATGAATTTCGGAAAAAAGCGACGATTCCGCGGAGCGCTTATAGCTCCCCGGATCGTTCGCGTGTCCTCGATCAAAGAGTCCCATGGACGCGTTTCGTGTCGAGAGGTGTATCGATTCGTACGTGGCGAGTAGAGCGGTGCCGATGGTACACGAGTAATTCGATATAATCGGATTATGAGAGCGGCGATATGCGGTCGCAAAAGTGGTCGCGTTCGCGGCGAGAGCATTCAGTGTTTTGCGGCCGCGGAGGGTACGCGTATTAGATTATAAACTTCACAGACCACAGCGGCTCCTATCCCGACCCAACGACACATTAGTCTCCCTGTCCTCCTGGGAGATCATCGATGTATCCGGCGAGCACCTTTTAACCGGCTGGAATTTCAACGAGCGAGCCGATGACTCTGGCCTGCGGTGGACGTGTAATATATTGTAGCCGGACCGAACAAAAATTTCAGAAAAAGGAAAAACCCCGTCGCGAATCGTAGAAAACCACAGGACATATCCAGCGGATCGATATTCCGCTCCTTTTTTTCCCTATGTAACGCACTTATACTACATACCACGAAGGGTGCAGACGGATGAAGGGGTTAAAAGTGCCCTTGAACAGAATTAATCCAAGAATCGAGCATTCCGCAACTCATTGAGGAGGAATCTTTTGTGCGAAAATAGAACAAGAATTGCTAATCCGAGTTATTTACGAAACTACCCTTCTAATCAGGAGGTGGGGTTGGTGCTTGATACAGGCAAATCAGAAGCACGTTGTAACTCTACGTTGAATCCGACTATGAAGAAATTATATTCGAGGCTTTATGAATGAGGAGTTTTTAAAACGTTCAAAATATTTTTATGGAAAAGTTCTATGTAAGCAGCCAACCATAAGGATTCGCTAATATATTGACTTTTCTCAAAAGGATAACTAATCATATAGTTATAAAATCAACACACCAAACTTTATGTTTAATTCCAACTAATTCTCTTCAATTGTCTGGAACTTGTGTGAAAGAATAGGTTACGAAGTACTGACTAGTTATGGGTCAGGGAATCACGATCCAAGAACAAAGGTGGAGGGATCGGAGAAATTCGATTCGGTTGGAACAAAAAAGAGATCCCTTCGTTGCTGACCCATTCGCACCTCGAGGAATTAATAGCCAATTGGCGCAGGTTCGGCGTAGGAGACGTAGCTCCGAAGCTACTCGCTCGTTCGAGGCTGCTTCGGTCACGTGTATGCGGCACGTGTCGGGAATATTTCGGGCCGCGTTATTCACGCAATGACAGCAGAATGAATCGCGGCACGTGCCGTGCGACATTTGACTGATAACCTTGCCGCGTGTGCGGCTAATCTTGGCCGAATCGCCGCGACACTGCGGACTCGTTGGCTCGATTGCTGGCAAACAAGATGATCGGCCAGATAAGTTCTCCTTTGAATCAGATTAGAAACTGTTTACCCTGCCCGTAATAACGCTCCGATAAGCCAACCACCGGTTGAAACTGCGTTCGAGCAACACCGTTGTTCGCAATTGATCGTCGGATCTTTCACCCGGGGTAAGATAATCGTCTACCGGGCCCTTTGTCCCGTGTTAAATAAGACGAAAATCCCGAGACAATAAGATCTCAGAAATTCAACGGGACGACCGGTCGGAGACGCGATTCCGCCACGGAACGGTTCAACTTCCCCATTGTTCCTGATCCTCTGCCGCGCGAACCCGGGCGAAACTCGTGCCGATTTACTCGGCTGTGACCGAGCCGATCCAACAAGTGATATCTTGTTTCTTGCCTCGCTTTATATAACGCCGCCTAACTATTGTAAGTGAAATGTAGCCGCGATACGTTGCGATCCGATCTCCGGTTTATATAAGCGCCACGGAGCAGTTCCTTCTTTTTTTTTCTCTTCTCCGTGTGTCCCCCGTTTTCGAGCGTAAACACGTTTTCGAGCGATACGAACAATCCGGTGATTCTCCGATCGCGGGAGTCGTCGTCTGTGATCCGCAGAGGAGCCCTATATCACGGGGGTCGAGGGATCATCGACACGAAGAATTCAATGACTCACCGTCTTCGGTGCGTTTTCTCTTGATGCTGTTGCCGTTGGGATCCTGATGGTGAGCCGGGATTCCCAGGATGCCGCTGATGCTGTAAGCGTTGGGAGCGGTTGCAGCCGGATGACCCGTCGCAGTTGCAGGTGCATGGGCTATCACCGACACGGAACCACCTGATCCTGGCTGACCTTGTTGCTGACCTTGCTGCTGCTGCGCCTGCTGTTGCTGATGCGCGTGTTTCGCCTTCTCCGCCGCTTTGTTCCTCACGATCCTACGGACAATTGAATCGGCCGTAGAAAGTTGATCAAATGAAGATCGATCACTGTGGATGCATTGTATCGTGTGCAAGAGGAAATCTTACAGGGCAACTCCTTAATTCGTTATATCACGTATACGATAATAACGCGAAGGATACCATAAAAATGTTCTCAAATTATAAGTTTCCGTTATAAATAACACAGGTGCATCAGAAAACTGATGCGCTGGTTATGCTAATTCCATCGAAATCAGCAACAACACTCGTTTGGCAATGAACGCATCTTAAGAACATTAACTGCCTGAGGTCCAGCATTAAGTGGTCTCCACTATAATGTATTCTTACATAAATTTAAATTTATTAGTGTACACATTCTACTTGGACGTATAACCTCGACATTGTAAAGGTCTCGATAACATGAATTAATGTGGCGCTCGGCAAACGAAAAGAAACATCCTAGAACACCGATAACTTCCTTGGATTCTACCTAATGCACGAAAGTTGTGAAAAAATCTTCCACAATAAAATCTTCTGAGTTGTCATTGAAAAAGAACTTCTCTCGTAGAATGTTCAACGCAAAAACCTTCCAGTCTCAAAGTCAATTCCCAACCTCTTCCGACTTTCCCAAGGATGACTGGAAGTTATCAAATACCGATCCCGAGTCAGGGGGCCTGGATGATTAATTAAGATTACGCGGGTCAGTTCGCGCACGATCATTCTGCGCGGCCAACGCCGGTTACCGGGTTCCGCGGCACTCAAGACGCGAACTCGAGCACGCATCAGCACTCTTGGGATGTACTCGCTCGTGCGTGTGTACGGTAGGAGCGTGTGTCGTTCGCCATTGTTACGGCGAAGCCGGCCGGTGTGCGTCCGCCTTCGATATAGAATAGCCGCGTGACTCTGCGGAACGGTCGCATATCATAATCGCATCGAGGAGTCCGCGGACATCGGCCGGCTATAACGAAGTTCCGCGCCCATCCCCCTCTGTCTCCGTCGCTCCTTTAAGCCGCCATCCGGCCGCGCACCGACTGCTTATTATCCGTGATATATTGTGCGTGTGGTTTCAATGGTCAGCCGGGCCGACGTTGGTATCAATTATCCCGGCGAATATTCACAGTGGCGTTGTTAATCTCGCCGCGTGCGAGTTACTACATACTACGCGACGCGGAAGATGCCGGCACTGAGCGCCGAGAGGCGACGATGACCGCCGGCTACGCCCTACGAGCACGTTCGGAAGTTCTCGGGTACCGCTACCAACGCGTAAAACTCTCTTTGAGGAGAGTGAGCGAGTCGAAGGATGATTGTGATCACGGAATGAAGATGAATATTATAGTACTTAGGATTTTAAGATATTTTTAAGAAGCGTGAATGCGGGAATGAGTACGAGCGAAGGACGATAAAAGAGGAAAGCCTCACGGTCGAGGGAAAGTGGACTAAACGTCACAAGGTTTCCAGTTCAGGTGTGAAGGGCTGTGTTTGAGGGTTCGTGGAAAGTGCGAGTGAGAATGATTGTAGGGGTGAGAATGATTTTGAGTGCGAATGTCGGAAAGAGAGTCTGGGAAGAGGGAGTCGTGCGTTTGACTTCGTGGCAGTATGTTGTGTGGTGTTTTAGTATGTCGCTAGTATGTAGTTCCTTATATTTAGACATTATTTGTTTTGTTATTAATAGGCGTAGTTATTTGTTAGAGTTTTCTATATTTCTGTATATTATTCCGGACCTACACATGTATACAGTGTAATATTTAATTACGTGCAGGAATGATTTTGTGAATGGAAGTTCGTTAGATGAATAAGGTTTGAGAGGATGTTTGGAAGTTCACGACGGATCTTCTAAAATCCATTAGTGTGAATAGATATAAATAACTCCGCTTTTATCATTTTTCATACATTGTTGGGTATTCTTGAATGAAATTCTGTTGGAGTGTAAAGATACTGAATTTCAGAAATGAATTACGTGTTTCTAGTCGCACGATTGGAGAATCGATTAAATTAACAGGCAAATGAAGAATTAATGGAAATTGTAGTCAACCCTATTGACGAGACAATCCGTTTTTCTCTGCGTGACAGGTTAATGGAAATCGGCGACCAGAAATTTTTCAACTGCAGCGTGTACCACCCCGTTTTTCGGGATTTAGTGGTCTCGGTGGTAACTCTTCGATGAATTTTACGTACGTAGAATGGGCGAGTGATTTCTCATCGCGACGAGCCGGCGCGTAACGGATCGACGTTAAGTCCTTCGTTTCTGTCGTGGATGTGTTTGCGGGCTAGGTAATCGTGGGGGTGCGAGCTACGGCGATCAATCAGATGACACCTGTTGCCCAATCTCCCTGGTTCGTTCGCCACCTTCGCCAATTCGCAACAATTAGCAACGATCCTTATCAGGGTTAGACTCTGGGGTGGTTGGATACCGAGGATCCTAAATCGTTGTTCTACCGGGGTATCACGATGGAACGTTCTGCCCATTGGAGCTTCGTTAATCCCACCATCAAGTTATGAATACATGAATGATTAAACGTAACTTTTCCAGAAATAATCATTGCACTGTCTATAAATATTTATAAAATTTCAGACTGTATCGAAGCGTTAAATTCTTTGCGTTTGTTTTCATTATAAAGTGTTTCATTCGGAAAAAGTAGAAGCATCGTCAGATTCCAAAGATTCTACCGCAGAATTTACAAATACATTCAACAGTATATCACATTTGTAAAATTACTCAAGACGACATTTTATAAAGTATTAGATTCATTTAATATGTTTTATATATCTACGTCATTATATATTGAATGTTATATATCCACTAATTCCTCGTGAATATTAATACAAAATAAGAAATAAATAATTAATTCCAGTCACGTATTCTCAATAATTAAAAGTTGTCTAATGTATGATAGTATATCATACATCGTGACCGTTGTAGTCATACGAGCATTTTGGCTTTGATCAAAGGGTAAAGATCTCGACTGTAACCGCCTCAGTGCTTTGAACCGTTTTGATCACTGAAAGTTCAAATAAGAGGAATGTCCATGGTAACGCATAACGAACGCGGGCTATAATTCTAACGAAAAGCTGGACTAGCCCGTGAATGATGGAAATTCCGCGTGTAGCTTCCGCGAAGCTCGGTAAAACATAACGGGGTGAGTGGCGAGGTATAATGAGCGCGATTGCCGATCTAATAAGCGCAACAACGTCAGAGGAGAGTGTCCGTACAACAGGTGCAGATTTTATCGGCACACAGATGGTGCGAACCGTTGCCACACGGCGCGTTTCGTGGGCCGAGCAAACGGGAGATTTTCGTTGAAACTCATCGGCCGAACCCGTTCCTCGACTTCTAATTAGCATCGCGTTCGATGTACTTGTCCGTTATCGATGCATTTATAAGTATTAACGACCGTTAGCTGATTCGGTGCAACATGTTGCATGATTTATGTAACCCCGCCTCGCTGCCGAGAAATTTATACTGGACACAGTCTATTTCACATCTTCCAGCTCGCGCATCGCATTTTCACGTATAATAACCGGAAAAATTGCTCCTTGTTGCCGGAATATGTGTATATCTTAGGGGAGCGAAATGATTTCGGACTGCGATGTAGTATCCATTCTGGAAGGAAAGTTGCGAGGAACTCGCCGCTCCGTGAAAATTCGTGCTTTCCTTTTCTTGGTCAGCACGGTTCTTGTAATTCTTCTGTAGCTAATAAAGAAACATGTTGCTTTTCACGAAACTTTAGTAGAAAGTAGTTCTCATGAAAATGTAGACGGCAACAATCTTTAAAGATACTAGAAATGGGGGTATGAAATATACTTGTAAACAGCACAATTGCATACGTTTTAATCAAGAATCTATCGGAGCAAACAAATTTCTGAAATCTCTACTTGTTTAAATAACACATTAAAAAACTATTTCATTCAATTTTTCGATTCAATATCAATTAATTTTTTGTATAATTCATCAACACATGAATCTTTTGACTTCCGCTTTGCAGCAGACAATAATTTCATACAGTAATTTGCAGATGCAATATCAAGATCTCTTGCCAACGTTAACAAGAAACAGAACGATTAAAAATCTCTCCGTCATTCCTCTTTTCTCGGTATACCGCCTCCTTATTGTCCGTGCAGGTTCGTGCGTGTCCCGGTCGAATTTGGAGCAACGTTCCCAGATTTTATTGCGGCTTCGCGACTCTTCGTGGAGGCAGAAAGAGGGTGAAACTGTCGCTGCTGGAAAATCACATGGCGGTTTCCATTCACGAGGGGGATGGTCGCGCGGAGCTTCGCCAATCCTTCGCGGGAGCGAAAGAGGAGGAGTTTCCATCTCGCTCGCCGCGTTTCCTTCGAAGTTTCTCTGTCGCTCGCACGGTTACAACGCCTTGGAGAAGCCAGAGGTGGCGCCCGGAGGATGGCTGAGCAGAATTATGAGGGTAGAGCGTGTCGAGGGTGCCACGTGGGAAGAAGCTATGCCTCCCCTGGCGCCATCAGATCGTTCCCCAACGGCCACTCCTGAACTAAACTGCTCGACTATCTACCCTGAAGTGCCACCGAACCACCCCCGAAGTCAACTTTCCTCGGCCGTCGTTCCGAGCGCGTAAATGCCGGCGGTGTATTGCTTAAATCGCGATCAAATAAAAGGATAATTAAATAGGACGCGCAAATGCACCGGTATCCCGGCGTTAAAATCTACATTTTTAATCCCGCGCCGCTCGGCCTATGCTCTATAAATTTCCTGGCTTACCCAACCACTCGGCTGGCCGGGGAAATGAATTACTTCGGAATGTAAGTTAACCGTATAAATATTCAATGGTCGGTCGTACGGTTCTATTATACAAAAGAGAATGTTGCTGTATATATTATATTTGTAATACGAACTGCATTTTTATTAGACGTTGCCCAATCGCTTTCAACGAACCCAGTGTTCGTTTCAACTGTGAGTCTTAAGGAAACTTTGTACCGTCGATTCGTTAAATATAAATGAAACTCTTCCAGCGTATTCCCGTCGTTTCGTCAATTCGCGGTTCGCCACT